CGCATGGCTACGTGCATTTTGTGAAATATCGGATTTCGTGTTGAACAATTTAAGTTTCTTTTTTTTATTTTATTTTATTGTTTAGAAAAGGGGGGGGGGGGAGGGGGGAGGGTACGTCTTGGCGTAGATAGTTCGAGCCACGAGTGCCTTCCTCCAGCACGAGACTCGGTCGGCAAAGCTGCATGCCGCAGCGACGGAGTCTGTCTTCGGGCGCCGTACGGTCCACGCGGGCAAGGCGCACCGCCACGCAAACGAGTATGCAGGGAGGACCGCTGGCAGAGCCCAAGAAAAGCGGGCTTATCTTAATTTCCGACATGGCGTCCGTCCTTATCGTGCACGGCGGCACGGATCAAAGGCGCTGCAGCGCCACTCGAGCGAATCCGGCGGCCTCCCCCCTCCGCCGCTTGGGAAGCCCTTCTTGGCCGTCCCAGCGGGGTCGCTCCCCGCGCCACTCATCGCTCCCGCCGCTAATTGATTGGCCGGACCCGCGTGCATGCCTAGCCATCGTAAAGGCTCACCTCAGTCGGCAGACCTTTCTTCTTTCTTATACGTTGGAGCGTCTGGATCCGATCTGGCGTTTGTTTGCATATCCTCGATGCCCCGCCGCGCTTCGTGAGGTCGCCCGGTCGAGCTCTCGTCGCCTTGAACTAGATGTGTCGGTTCAGCGGGGCAGCTCGTTCCCGAGTAGTTGGTTAGCCAAGAGGCCGGTTTATGGGTCCGGTCTAGTAGTACACTTCCGACGACCACTCGACTCCGCCAGATAAAACCAGTTTATTGCCTTTATTGGCGCGTCGACCGGCAGCCCGCGCTTGCGAGCTGGCACTCGCTTCGTCTCCGAACAGGGACTTTCAGGTCCAGGTTGGTTAACTATAAACGACACTGTAATAGTACCCTATCGGGATATATCCGGAGAGCCGGTTAGGATCGAAATCGACATTTGCTCTCGTTTTGAGCCCTAACTTGTTGCTTTCTTTTATCAATAAAATATCCTACTTACGAAAAAAAAAAGTGTTTTGCACTGCTAATGAATTATTTAGCCGACTGATGACTAGGGTGACTCTCACGATCATCGAAGGGCGAGTGGCTTCGCATCACTATTCCACCGGAGCGTCGTTACTCACAACGGTCGAACTTCAGAACGGACATCTGTGAGCGAATCAGTTGTGCAGAAACCGCGATCAAACCACCAGTCCCGTTCACCGCAATTCAAGTGTGATCGTTCAAATAGTCGACGATGATACGCAACGGCGCATCGCACGCGCAACCGGGTTGTGGCGCGGTGAGAGACGTCCGCGTGCGTGGACAACGCCGGACCCGAGGAGGCGTCGTCCGCTTCCTCCGGGGCCGCTCTCTGCCCGGCGGCGGCCCCGACGTGCTCGCGTCGGGGACGCGGCCGACGCGGCGGTCAGGCCACCCGCGTCGCGCTTCCGGAGGCAACTCTCCGCCGGTCGTCCCACGGGTGCCACCTGGGGACGGGCTCGGCCATGCGCCCCGGCACAAAGGCTGCTTCGCCGAGGGGACAAAAGCCCGGCGTCGGCGTCTTCGGAACCCGCGGGGGACGCCCTTTTCCGCGCACGGTGGGGTCCGACCCCTCTCCGTGGTATATAGTATACCCTCCCGGGGGCCACGGGAGTCGCTCGCTGATTGGAGTCCGCAGCCCATCCCTTTGCGGAAGCGATACACCGTCGGGGTACCGCTGGCAGACGGTGACGGAACCACCCAAGCCATCTACGCCCTTGTTGGCAGCCGGGGTTGCGTCGTCTCGTTGTGGCCAGCTTCGCGTTGAACTACATTTTAAGGGACATTTCTAAGCCCGCTGTGGACGTGGCCACCTCACACCGGGCTAAAGTTTGCCGGCGCATTTGATCTCTCCGCAGCCGTGACGATCTCAGTTTGCAAGATTGGTTGACCGATGCGACTCAAACATGGCGGCCGACAATGTCGGTCGACGCAGTTTTGCTAGGGGTTGTCTCGAGGAAGGTGGAAGGAAAACTACACTCGCGCTTGGTGAGTAGACGCCGACGGCGGATCGGGCGGTTACGACGTTCGCAACGCCGCCCGGGGAAAATGCTGTGGCGTCGTGCGTCGGCCCGTGCCGGTCCAGCGGCGCTCGGCCTCGGAGCGAATTCGTGGGAGGCTCCCTCCCCTCTTGGCGGCCGCATCAAAGCGCCGGGCCGCCGTCGATAATTCGCCGCGCCGAGGGTGACAAACGCTCAAAGGAGCCGCTCCGGCACGACGGGACTCTCCGCCGGCGCCCGACGGGCGAGCCGACCACTTGCGTCCGAAGGGAAGCGAACCCCATTCAGGCTCGCTGGTCTCCATCACGAGCGGCTCGGGACGGCTTTGGGCTGTTCGTTACGCCGATAAAGGGGCCTCTTCGTTGCGTCGACCCCTGTTCGAAGTTCCAGCAGCAGTCTGGGCGGCGGTGCGAACGTCCACAACTACACAGAAACGGCAAAACACCCGCGAAGACCTCTTTTTTCTTTTTTCTTTACGAAGTGTTTACGGGTTTTTATCTCGTGTTTGTGTATCTCTAATTACACGCGGTTAGGCTTGCACTGTAAGCTGTTTTTACTCACCGGCCTGTGCTTGGCGCGACCAAGTTTTAAAAACAAATTTTAGAAGTTTTTTTTTTCTCCTTTTTATTCTATGCAGTCTTTTAATCCTTAATTCTGACCCCTCGCCCCATCCCCACATGACGACCGACAACCTAACTCGTCTCCAAATTGTACATCCTTGCGTACCATCCCCGGGCATGCCATCAGTGGCGCACAATTTAAAGGGTACTCCATTTGTTTCGTTGTGCGGTTATGGCAGTTTTAAACCAGAAAAAGTATGATAATTTATTATCATATAAACAATGAGAAGAACACAAAACACAAGGACGGACGACGGACAGGACGTCCTTGTGTTTTGCGCTGTTTCCATTATTTACGCGGAGTGCAAGTCGTCTGCTTGCGCAAAAGTTGCAGTGACGTCAGAACAACGCCGTGCTCTGATTGGCTTTGAGTGGAAGGATAGTGGGTAGACCTCAAGGCTAGATGCCTTGAGGTCTACCCACTATTTCTTTCAATCAGCCAATAAGAGCTCGGCGTTCTGACATCGCCGGAACCCCCGTGCAAGAAGCAGACGAACTTCTGCTCCGCATATTTTCCTTGCCAGCACGCTCTCCATTCAAGTATCTACGATTATACTTGTCTCCAAAGCGGGTCCATATCACAAGAGCGAATGACATTTTAGCGAACGGCGACATTTGAGCGAATGCTCGTTTTAGCGAATAACGGGGGCGCGCGTTAACCCATCCGTCGCGCTGCGCTTTACGCCGCTTCGCGGCGACAGTCTGCGGCAACTCATTACAAAAATATGAACTCACTTGGCCCACCCGAAAACGCCGCTTCGCGGCGTCCGACTATTCGCTAAAGTGTCGTTCGATGAAACGTGGGCGTTCGCTAAAACGTCATTCGATCAAGTGAGTGCCTCCCCTCCAAAGCAATGTGAGGCATTTGTTTTGGTTCGAATTTTGAGCGGAGTTACCTGTAAACGTTATAATAGTTCGCTGACGCCTTCTTTTCGAGCCAGTTTCAGCTCATAAAAGAAAACAAAGAGCAGGCGTGTTTCCGGCCGTCTTTGACACATGCGTGCCGCTGCACGCCACCGCGGACAGCGGACAGCGCTTGCTGGCTTGTGGCGGCCAAGCGCGCGTCTCTCGGCGAAGGCCGGCCACTTGGCAGGCCCGAGATGCGTTCGTCAAAGGCGGGCTCGACGGAGCGGCCCAGTGTGCGGCCGGCCGGGCAACCTCATTTTCGCCCTTCGAAGCCTCGACGCGAGAACGATTAGCGAGCTGACGGCGGCGGCACCACTGAAACCGGCGGTGTCGTCGCTGCGCCCAAGCAGCGGCGGAGGCTGGCCGAGCGGCGTCTCTTTCAAGCACTGCCTCAACAATGCTCGGAGGAGCCGCTCGGGCGTTGTGCGACGGCCCCTGTAGCCGGCATCGGCCGCGGGAGAGGGAGGGGGAACCTCCACATCAAAGGCGCCGCCGACATGTGCCCGCCGGGATCAGCCCTCGCGGGACGGGGAAGCCAAGGGGAAGCCCCCCCTCGCCCTCCGAGGCTCCCGACGCCTTCTTGCCTTGGCGCTCGCCGCCATCTCTTCTTCGGGGCGCCTCGAAACTCCGTGGTGGCCGCGCGCCCCCGCGCTGGGCCCGTTGACCCTTCCGAGACCACAAAGTGACCACTGGGGGGAGGGATCATGTCCATGTGCGACACACCCGGCTGTTCTCATTTAGGAAGACTGCTCATGTCTGGTTTGCAGGTAGGGTTTCCCCGCCTAGGTCGTTGGACGTGCGACGTCTTGTTCCAATTAGCTGGGGATCTTCTTTTATAATGCCAGTATGGTTCCCTAGAAGCGATCCCTCGCGCGGTTTACATCGTGGTCGTTACTCAAAATACCTCTAGAAAAAGCAAAAGGCGAAGTGTGCATCTCGTCTTGAGACGGATAAAACGGAAATAACGCGGGAGTGAAAAGTCGGCTGTCATTCGCTTCGTGATTTCATTCAGTTCTGGTCAGGGCGGTCAAATGCGTTGGTCGCAAACTGTGTGTGCAGTGAGCTCACTCACTTTCATTACAGATTGAACATATTTATGTTCAGCCTCGAATCTGGGAACACACATATCGGTCTCCAGGCGTCCCCTTCTGTGTTCCTGGCTCTCGGGTTTTTCTTACCACGAATCGCCACCAGCTCGCTTGTTTTTTTAAGTATTGTTGCTGTAGTATGTTGCAGGTTAAGAAGGTAGGGCGAGGGAAAGGAAGGTGGGTGAGGAGGAAGCGAACGCAACGCTGGCGAGGTGAGTGGGTTTCCCCCTCCCCCCGCCATCGTTGCGTTCGTTTTCTCCTCTCCCACCTTCCTCTCCCTCGCCCTACCTTCAACGCTGAAACAAAGCGAAAGCTGGAACTTTGTGTTCGTTCTTGCAAGCTTTGAGGTGCCGCCGTCTTCGGTCTTTATCATTTGATTTCCCTCGTTCGTGATAACTAAACTGCTGCGGTGCGCGATGTTGGTTGCAAACACCACGCCGAACACCACGCCGAACCAGAAGGCAGGCCATGGGCAGGCTCAATTGCAAATTCTGGTGCCGTGCCCACGACAACCTCAGCGTAGCGAGCGTGCCGCGTTCCTCCTCGTTCCTTGCGTCTCCTCACCCCTCCCCACCTCGCGACCCGAAGTGGGCTCTTCCGCGTGCGGGACGCATGCGCAATGGACGCTACTCGCGCGCCTGCGCGTTGTGTGGCGAGCCGTGCACGCACGCCTGTCCAACTGGCCTGCCGTGCCTGCTCGAGCCCGCTGGCCTCTTTCGGTGCTTCGTCGGCTTCGTTCTTCAGTCGCGTTGCTTCTGTGCGTTGCTTCCGTGCGTTGGTGAGATGAGGAGTTTGGCGCGCTGCTAAGAGCTTGGCGTGATCGGTGAACGCGCATGACATTCGCTGGTATGGCGAACATCCTCAAGAAGATGCCCCGCTTTACGGTCAAGTTTTCGTCGGCCTTTACCAAGTCCGAGCGATCCCTGTCCGAATGCCCCTTGGTGAGTAGCTCGTTTCCGTGCCAAGTGGCGTCGGTTCCTGTAGGTGGGGTGTTAAATGTTGCTCGCATTACCCTAGCCTACGTCTTTCGAGCTACGCTTGTGAAGGGTCATTGAAGGGAAATTTTCGAGTTTGGAATTGACGATGGATGTTCATTATGGTAAAGTTATGCGTGCGAGGATCAGCCCCAGGATCCAAACTGCTGTGGGCCCGCGGCAACACAATCGGTATGTGGACAAAACACCCTGTTGTGTCCACACGCTCGATTGTTGTGCGAGAGAGAATGGTGTAAATATTTTGTTTCTGTTCAGCTCGGAGCACGGGGAGCGAAAACTCGCACTGCAGAACTCTAGGATCATTCCTGGACTCGATCCCTGCGCTCGCGTTTCGGGCGTGCACGGTATCACTACTGTGTGATGCGCGTTAAAGACCCCAGGCTAGCCGTTGTATTGGGTATCGGATTCTCCTTGTGGCAGACTGTCACAATATTCATACAACAAAAATAAAACTTAAATAATCGAAAAAAAAAAATGCTTAGAATAATTTTTTTTTCTTCAAAATATTGGCATTTCGAACTTTGTCCAAAGCTTAAGACCCATTGTTTACAAAAATACACAAGAGCACTTTGAAATTGTCTTCTGTCGCTCTAATGTTATTTTCGTCCATGAGAAGCCTAACTGATTGCGCGATCGTTGTAGTATGAACGGCAGGTCTGAGCTTCAGTGATATGATCTATTGACGAGGAGATCGAACTATATGGGGGGCGCTATGTCCTGCTTGTTTTCCCTAGGGCGCCTACATATTTGTCTCTCTCAGGATGAAGCAGGCACGTAGCCAGGAAGGGGGGGGGGGGGGGCATGGGGCCCGCCCCCCCCCCCCCCCCCCCCCCTTTTCGAATTATTCCATTTTGCTGGGACCTCTCCCCCTCATACAGTATCATACAACATTTTGTCATGCCTCATGTCATTTGTCGACCATCCTATATATACCCATTTGCTTTTGTCATCTCTCGACCATCCCACGAAGCCCCTTCCAACCATACACTACGCAGAAATCTCCTTTTTTGAAAACCGTTCCAAATGGAGAGAACATACATGACACACCTGACACGCGCTTGATCTCTTTGTGTATCATGTATGTTCTCTCCATTTGGAACTGCTTTCAACAAAGAAGATTTCTGCGTAGAGTATGGTTGGGTAGGGCTTCGTGGGTATATATAGGATGGTCGAGAAATAAACCAGTTAGCTGAGTTTGAGACGTACCTTTCTCTGTCTGTTCCTTCTGCTAAAAAGTTTCCAATTTCTTCCACCACAGTCTCAGGTGTTATATGACATTATCTACAGCGTGCCCACGAATCCGGACGAAGCCTTTAGAGTGACCGCATGAATCGGCTTGGTAACGTTACCGCGCATCGACTTACCACAGAGGTGACCGAAGGTGGTGGAAGCATCGCATGAACATTTCAGAGAACAAACTTACCCGAGTAAAAAGTAAAAGAAAGATAACCGATTTTCCCTACCTACGGCGCCCGTCTGCCATCCAAGCACCCTCTGACTGGCGCAAACCCCGACAGATGGCTGCAGCGGCCCGGGCGCAAGCTAACCGCCCGGTCGCGCCAAAAGCAGGCGACATGTAGCTGAGATTACTCGACGAACCATAGGTTTTATTTGTCTTGTGTCCAGTTAATGTTTTATTGAGCGCGTGCCATTTTTGATTAAGAAGCATGGTCTGCTCTTGGCCCGATTGGGCGGTAAGCTTACGCCGTAAAGTCCCTTGATACTTTTTTTTTTCCAAGTAACGACAAGCAACACAAATGTCAGAGCACATTCACTGGAACAAAATGGCGGCATTCAGTTCAGACCTCTGCTGTGCGCCGCCATTCGCTTCCCTAAAACCTGCACCGTCGCGCAGTCGGCGCTTCAAAGAATGTCGCTACTTATAGGAAGCTTTTATTCAGGGACTTTATTACGCCGAGGCCGCTGCCGCGATCTGTCGGTTGTTGCGCCAGTCCAACGGTGCGTGGATAGCATACGGGCGCCGTAGGTAGGAAAAATCAATTATAGAGTTATCGTTTTTTTGTTTTTTTTTTAGGAGTTAGTTTTGAGATTCTGATGTGATTTTTCCATCATGCACGATCATGCTCGGGGCAACATGTAGTACGAACGCTTCGAACCTCTTCCCCTGCGAGCGCGCATGCTTAGCAGGGCCACTGAAAGACTGGAGTCGCTTTTGAAGCTTCTGCTACGCGCGACAGAGTTTAGTGCGGATACGTGCTTTTGTTTAGACATTGGTTACAACGCTGCCAAAGGTGCTGGTGCGAGTGCGTGGCTTATCTACAGCGTTTCAGGTGCACGCGAGCGTGTACCTACAGTGGAAAAGTTGGACGAAGTCACACACTCTTGCCACCGGCTTCGACAGCGTTGTACACTATGGATGAAACGGAGGGTCACGTGGCGCTTCTCTCGCGCTCACTCTACTTGCGATGGACCGCAGAGGACGGTACAAACCAGGCAACCCTGTGCCGCGGGAATGTCACGTGACCCTCGAAATGGGTGTAGCGACACGCGGATTGGCTATGATGGCACGGAGTCTAAAACGAGGTTTGGGAGAAAGTAGGAGTGCGACTGTGCGAGCTTCAAATTTTGAAAGCGTCTAGCACGCAGCACCAGTGTCGTCCTAAGCTTTAACCTCGCGCCCTTAAGGCCCGTTCACACACTTGCGACCGAGTAAGACCGAGAGAGACCAGACCGGTTTTTAAGCCTCTTGCGATCTCTTAGGACCAGCTCCACTGCAGCGTATCCTGTACTAAGAAGTCGCAAAAGGCTTAAAAACTGGTCTTGTCTCTCTCGGTCGTACTCGGTTGCAAGAGTGTGAACGGGCCTTTAACCTTGACTCTGCCCCAAGCTGAGCTGAAACGCGGAGCGTAGTTCCGCTGTTCAACACAGCTCGCATGGCGGTTCAAGTCTCGGGGCAGTAGCACTCGGGAAGCAGAATAGTTTCTCTGCCTGTCTTCGCCAGGATCCCACACACTTGTCTTAGCCCCTACAAAAATATGTATCCACTTTCTACAACATTTACACAGTAAATAATGTATAGGGGTTATAAATATTCTAAAGAAAATGTATCCCTCTTTCTATCTTCTAGATTAAAAACAGGTAGAAATTCGAACGTTTCTATCGCCTTTCTATTGACAATATAGACAATATAGAATGTTTTCGCGAAAAAAAAAAATCCTGAAAAATAATTTTAGGTTTGCTACAATTCATGCATGGAAACATGCTTGCCTCGTGAACATACGCAGACATCACAAATACACACGCCACGGAGCACTCGTAACACACACTAGTAATTCAGTAGTGTTCTCCACTGCCATATATACTACCCTACGGCAATCATTTAAACAAAGAACAGTAAAAAAGAAAAAAAAAAAAGTCATCTTTTGGGATTGAGTTCCAGAAGATGAAAAAAATTACAAGTATGTTGCTTTTTTTTTTTTTTTCTACAATCATTTATAAGAAATGTGCTTTCTAAGTGTTGGTAAACTGTTTTCGACAACTCTAAAGCACTGCGAGTAGCGATAATTATTTGACTCAATCGAAAAAAAAAAAAAAAACAGCCTCGGCGAGGAGGTTTTAATTGTGTGTGATGTTGCTTCTTCGCACTGCATCTCATTCTATCGAGTCTATAGAAATTATGTATGAATATGCTGACAGAAAGTCTATTGAGACGTGACGATCGAGAAATTCTATACCATTTATATCGTCTATAGAAAATCAATTGAAAATTGTCGATACGACGTGACTGGGTAGGACGTCGAAAGAGTCGCTAATATGTGGGTGTTCCATCCACATTTGGCTCCAACAAATCGTGGCGTTGGCCGCGGCCAGACTTGATGCGAAACGGTGTAGCGCAACGATAAACCGTGAAAAGATGTGCACTATGAAAGTTACTTTTCGAGCTTCAATCGCCGAGCCTTTTCTGCCGTTCGAAACGTCGATCACCTAGCAACTCCGACAGTTGGCATTTCTTGTATACTATAGTTGCACTATAGATGCTCATGGTTCGAGTGTGTGTATGCATATTCATTGTTCGAGCTTTAGTGCGGGCGCTTCCTTTGTTTCGTACAAGTTACGGCCGTGTCTTGCCCGCGGCTACGTCGTAAAGTCGGCGATACGTGGTCCCGACTACTCGCGAGCAATTGTAAAACTTAATGACACGAGAACTTGCGCTTAATGTTCGCTCATCGAGAGAATAAGAGAACCTCTATTTGTCTGTTTCTTTATGAATACTCGCCCGGTGTTTACGACGAGTCATTCCTTCGCCCTAGATTGCGTGCGTCTTTTCGAGTGGAAGAGAAATGTAATTGCATGTCCTCCCGCTGAACAAGAAGAGAGAGAGAGAACGTTTTAGAAAGGCGTAATCAAAAGGCGTACGCAAGGAATAGCGTCGTCGCCGCTGCGCATGCATGCGCCGCCGAACGGTAACCGCGCTTTGCGTGCGCGGATTTGCGATGCAGGAAAAGTTGGTTAAAGCCTAGGCGAGCGCTGTTCGAAAATGGCGGCTCTCAGGCTGCGACCGCTTGGGCGGTGGTGATTCAAAACTATCGATAAATTGACTATCGATACTATCTATAGTTTTTCCAAAACCATTGATAGTGTCGCAGAGCTATCGATAGTCGACTATCGATGGTATATATAGCTTTTCGATAGTCGACTATCGATAGTACTATTGATAATTTTTCGACAGTATATATCAATAGTACTATCGTTAGTTTTTCGATAGTCGAATATCGATAGTACTATCGATAGTTTTTTTTTTACTATCGATAGTCAGATTTCTGGCGGCTATCGATACTATCGATAGTGCTATCGATAGTTTTGCATCACTAGAGCGAACACAGTTGCCGCACCGCCGCTCCGCCTCCCTTCCTCCTCTCTTCGCCCAAACTACTCCCGTCTTCGTCATCTCTGGAAGCTAAATCAAAGTTGGGATGGTAAGTGTT